CGCGTTTGGTAATTGACAAAATATTTAAAAAATTTTAAAAATTTTAAAAAGAGTGGGGGGTGGGTGGTGGCGACGGAAGACAATGGTGGAAAATGGTAGCGGGTGGTGGCTAGTGTTGAGTGGTAAAAAAATAAAAAACTCAAAACTCAAAACGGAAACACATTTTTTGTGTTTTCATTTTTTGGCCAAATTTATAAACTGAGACCACTAATTTATATATCAAAAATTTTACCAAACAAGTTTTTATTTGAATTTTTAAAATTTTTGTAAATATAAATAGAAACTGAAAATGTAAGTGTTACCAAACGGCACCTTTAGTGAATTGTAGGACTTGAAAAAGAAAAGAAAAAAAAATAAAAGAAAAGGAAGAAGAGTAATCAAGAGAAAAATTGACGAAGGAAAAAAAAAATTGAATGAAAAAAGTAAAAGGATCAATATCTTCAAATGATGTCCATTTCGTTTTAATATACTATTAAAATCATTTTAAAATTTTAAAAAAAAAATTATCTGCAAAAGAAAATAACTTTATTAATAATAAATAATGTACATATAAAATATTGAAATTAAAACATCAACAAAGCACTAGTAAACACAAAACTGCATCGTAGTTACAATTCCAATCCCAACTAAATTGTCGCCAAAGATGAGGCTTAATCATATATAGGGTTGGTTTAGGATATTAGTTGACTTTTTAATTTTTTAACTTTTTTGTTTTTTTATCTGTTTTAGGTCATTTGTTAACTATATATTTTAATCAAAAAGTTGTTATATATTGTCACATCACTCTCTTTATTTTTTTTTATATATTTTTATAAAAAATTAAAAAAATTACTAAAATAGCCTGTTTCCAAACAAAGTTGGTATATAAAAAATAATAATAATAATAATTAAAGTGCGGGCGGTTTTTGCGGGTTGCGGGTTTAAACCGCGACCCGCCCGCAACTCGCAAATTCGTCATATTTCAAACCGCATCCGTCCGCATTATATTTGCGAAACTACCCATTTATATGCGAGTTGGACGGATTAGGCGGTTTGAGCGGTTCGGATAAACGGTTGCCTACCCCTAAATCCAGCAACAAAGAACAGGAAAGGAAAGAAAAAAAAGCAATAAAAGATGCAAAAGAAACAAACCACCAACAAAACTCCAATTCAAACACTCTTGAGTAGAAGCATCCGATGCACCGCACTTTTATCCAATAAACTCAATATAAACATACGTAAAATTTAAAATACTTTTTATTAAGGGATTGTTTGGGATGTCTTAAATAAGTGTACTTTTTAACTTTTTGGACTAAAAAGTTGAGAAAAAAAATATGGTTGTTTGGATTAACTTTTTGATTTTTTATGAAAAAATGTGTATTAAAAAATTGTATAAATTAGTGTGTAGGGAGAATTTTTAAAAAAAGAATGACAAAAATGCCGTACTTGTTGACTTTTGGTGAATAGTGATAATTTTTTAACTTTTTGAGTAACTTTTTAACTTTTTGACTTTTTTTCAACTTGTCAAACTTGGCCTAAATTTAATAACTAAAATATTATTTTTTTAATTAATTTTATTTAGCAAAAATATGCAAATGTTTTAGATTAAAAATAAATTAAAATATTAGAATTTAAATTGACAAATTTAAAAAACTTAGGATTTATTTTATTATGAGGGTTAAATCCTGAGATTTTTTATTTTTTATTTTGGTATTTTTCCAAAATTTTTTAATGTAGGTCAATTTTATCCAATTTCAAATAGACTATCCAAATCATTAAATAGAAGGATAAGCCATCTATGATTCTTAAAGTTACTTGTCATCTTGATCTCTAAATTTTTTATTTTATCCCTTTGGTTTCTAAACAATGATGAAAAAGATGAAATAGAAACTCACAAGAGGGAAGAAATTGAGAAAATCAGAACTTCAAGATCGAAGTGAAACAAAATGCATACTTGACCAACCATAGGTGAATTCTATAATTATTTCGTTAATGATTTACATTATGTGTTTGAAATTGGAATAAACTTACTTAAACATTAAAAATTCTAACGATAATAGACAAAATAAAAATAAAAATAATTAAAGTGATACAAAACCCATCATGTATATAACTTATGGGCATTTATTTATAAATCTCTCTCCACCTACTTATATATTTCATTTAATTCAAATTATTTTTTTATATTTTAATAAGTCTTATGAGTGACATAGTTATCAAAATACTCCTAATAATTATAGGGTGAAGCGCGGATTAGTGTTCACATTAACAGTGTGAATGTTCCGTAATGTGAACATTTACACTGTCAATGTGAACACTCACACATCAATGTGAACATTTATACTGTTAAATATAATTGTTCACATTACCAAGTTACTAAATGTTTAAAAACTATTTGTAAAGATAAATTATTCATAAAATATCTTAAATATAATAATTAAAATTGATGGATCAAATGTTTAAATAATAAAACTTATTAAAATATATTATGAACTAATTGAGATGCAAGTACTTGAAAGATAATTTCTTAATAAATTTCCCTCTAATTTATCCACTTGATTAATTGTACAAACAATGACAAAAGGTGATGCAGTTAGTAAATCAATCTAACATTTAGAAAGTCGTTCATCTTCTATTCACAGAAGAGAAATGTTAGAGATTTTAAAAGTTTTATTAAAATTTTTACCAAATATCTCATATAAGTGTGAGACTCATATAATATGGGTTTCATGTGAGTCTCACACTCATTAAGATATTTGATAAAATATTTGATGGAATTTTTGACCATTTTTGTTTACATAAATCCTTATTTGACTCTTGACCTTTTTGTAAATGTGCCTCGACTTGCTGAATTGATAATTTCTCCAAACATTACATTGCAAAAATTCTCCTTCATTCGTGTATAAAACAAAAGTCATCCCCCTTCATTTTGTAATTAAACTTTCTCCCCCTTTCCTTGGTTTTCTCGGGAAACAACACTTTGTTCTTCCTCTGATATACGCATACACAGATTAATCAATATGGAGGTTGTGGTGATCTCAAGAAACACCATTAAGCCATCTACCCCAACCCCTCCTTATTTGAGCCATTTCCAACTTTCATTCCTTGATCAAATAGTCAATAGAAACATTGTGCCTTTGATCTTTTACTACCCATTAGGGATTGTTGAAGATGATTCCAAAGCCACAAACCTCACAAGATCAGACCAGCTAAAGAAATCTCTTGCTGATGTCTTAAACAAGTTCTACCCACTGGCTGGTCGACTCAAAGAAGACCTCTACATTGATTGCAATGATGAGGGTGTTATTTACTTGGAAGCTCAAGCCAATTGCCAACTCTCAGAAATTGTTGGACAACCCAACAATCACCATGCTGAGCTCAACAAGTTGCTTCCTTGTGACAGGCTTGATGATGCCGGTGATGTACTCTTGGCAATCCAAGTCACGATCTTCGACTGCGGTGGGATGGCGATTGGCATGTGTTTTTCTCACAAAATTACAGATGGGTTGTCTACTAGTACCTTTGTCAACTCATGGGCAGCTTCTGCTCGAGGGGATCATAGCAATATCGTATGTCCTCGGTTTGATTCGGCTACACACTTTCCTCCTAGAGACATGTCTTGTTATCAGATGGGCACTGGCATAACAGAAGAGAAGATTGTAGCAAAGAGGTTTGTCTTTAGTGCTTCTTCTATATCTGATCTCAAAACCAAGTATGCTGTGAGTGGGAGCATGGAACATGCAATACAACCCACTAGAGTTGAGGCACTCTCAACTTTCATATGGAGCAGATTTGCTGTGACCATGAGTGAAGAAGAGGCAAGTCCTACTACTTATGTAGTGACTCAAGGGGTGAACCTGCGCACGAGAATGAATCCTCCATTGCCAGAGTCATGTTTTGGCAATTTTAGTTGGGTTGCCATATTCACGTCATCAATGGACAAGACTGTGGAAGTGGAAGAGGAAGGTTATGGGTTTGTGACCAAAATGAGGGAAGCAATAAAGAAAATAGACAGTGATTATGTGAAAAAACTCCAAGAGGGTGACACACACTTGAATTCCTCAAAAGGAAAGGGAGATAAATCATGTGAAGAACCTCCAAAGGAGGCAATGAGGAAAATGAAGATTGTTCCCTCAAACTTTTCCAGCTTTTGCAAGTTTAAACTATATGAAGTTGATTTTGGGTGGGGCAGACCTATATGGGTGAGCACAGCTACTGTTCCCTTAAAGAATCAAATGGTTTTTATGCCTACTAGATCTGGTGATGGCATAGAGGTGTGGATTAACTTAACAGAGGTTGACATGGCCAAACTTGAAGCTGATGGGGAGTTTGCCAAATTTGTTTCTTAGATCTCTGCCTAATGACTTTGGTACTAAAGTTCTGTATTTCACTCATCTCATTCTAGATTTATGTCGCATGCTCAAGTTTAGTCCTATGTGTTGTCTTGTTTTATTTTTAATTTTGGTTGGTGTAGGGGCAGGGGATAGGGGAAAGGAATTTTGGAACTTTTGTCTAGGTATTGAACTTGGATGATCTTTAATGCTATGTTTAGATTATGGATTTCGGAAGAGATTTAAAAAAGAAAAAAAAAATTGAGTGAAATATAAATGAAATATTAGTTATATTTCACGTAATTTTTCTTTCTCTTTTCTAAATCTCTATCTAAATTCATGATTCAAACACAGCTAAAAGTCTACACCAATCACCCTTTATCATTGTGTTGTTTTCAATTAGTTATTTTGGTTTTCGAATTGCTCAAGCTTTGCAATTTTAGTTTCTCTTCTCTCACTAACTCACTGTCTTAGATATGGCAAAGCAATGTGGTATGTGGTGTTTTTGGGCTTAGATTCAGCCTACCAATGTGATGTCTTAGCTTTCTGCTGCTCGAGCAGATCCCTTCAAATGTACAATCTACTAACAAAACTATATACTTTTTTTTTTTTCAAAAAACAGAAAAAAAAAAAAAAAAAAAGCTTCAATTTAGTTATTGACTGTCACTAGTAGAATAAAATAAAAGTTGTAGTTCCTAAAATAAGCTTTTCATGTCACTTGGGTCCTCCAATTCTCAATTTTGTTGATTTGAATATTAAAATTTTTAAATTGAGTCAACCGTATAAATTTCAAATAGACTGGTCTAATTCCTTAACATATTAATAATTCATCTATAGTCTCTAAAATAGGAGTTATGTGTTACTTTAATCTCTATTTTTTTTTTAAAAAAAAATTTATCACTTTGGTTCTTTATCAAAAATGAAAAAGACAAAACAAAATCATGCAGCATTGAGGTACAAAATTAAAAATTCAAGAACAAAGTGATACAATAATGCATATTTTTGAAGCCATAGACGAACTCTTCAATTATTTGATTAACAACTTAGATGGTCCGTTTAAAATTGAAATTTCGATCAAATTAACTTGCACTAAAAAATATAGGGACGGAAACACGTGTATAGAGTAATGCTATACAAACACAATTTTTATATAAAAATTTCATATAGAATGATATTAGTTTTTTGTGATCCTTTCATTTATAATCAAAACACTCACTATTATTATATCTTATAATTACAAACATGCAATTGTCACATCATTTTAAATGCAGTTTATGAGTAGAAATTATATTTGTAAATCACTTTCCGTATATATACTACCGAGTATTTTGGCAACATTGGTAAAAAGTCAATTTTTTAGCTTTTAATTTTTTTAGCCAAAAAAATTAGTTTTTTTATTCAAAAGAATCCAACTTTTTATAAAAAAAGTCAAAAAGTTAACTTTTTATCAACTTTCCAAAACACCCCTACTAGTGATGTCTACCCACTTGAAAAGTGTACCATTAAATTTGAAAATATATAAATTTTGATTTTAATTTAAAAACACACTTATTGTATGATGCTCAAATGGTAAGAATCTTATCTACTCGACTGAATGTCTTAGTTACCATATGCCTTAGTTATGATTAAAAAGATCTTTGATTATACCTTATGTGAAGTAATACATTTAGTAACTAAAACATTAATGTGAAATTCCATAGTTTGGAGTCTCTATTATATACCCCAGTTATGATTGAAAAATTATGAATCTTAAAAAAAAATAAAAGAAGTTATGATTGAAAAAATCTTTAATTATATCTTATATAATATTTAATTATAACTCATTATTTTTTTTTAGCTACAACTGAAAAAATTTAGGGCACTAATGACAAATGAAAAAGGTGCCAAAGAGATCCTTTCCTAAAAAATTAAAGGTCATATTTGTTTGGCTCTACTATAGGATGAAGGGAATTAAGAATACAGTGAGATTGAATGAAGAGATTATTAGTATGGTAGTATTAGGTTGGAAACGTAGGATAAAGAGTGCTTGTTTGTATATCACTGAATCAGTAATATTATAGATAATATTAATATATAAAATTAATATTTTTAGATTTTTAGATTTTTTTTAATATTATAATTATTTTTTTTGTTCTAAAAATATATTTTTTTTACTTAAAAATTATTTTAAAATTCACTAATCCTCTCACTCAATTTTTAATCCCAACCTTCTCCTGACTTTGTTAGTCCTACCACATGGGGAGATTACTAATCCAAGGGAATAGTTAATCCTCTTACTCACATCATCAACCAAATACTCTTTAAGTGGGTCTCACGAGCTATTAGTCCAATCCCCCTTTAGGTGGATAGGTTGATATTGTATTAAGTAACTGAGGGATATAAAAGGGCATAATGAATAATAATTGGACTATAATTTACCATCATGTTCTCGTATCCCTGAACTCTTATTGGAACTTCTCTTTTTTTCTTGAAACTTTAGAAGTTACAATTTCAACAATTCTCTCCCTAGGAATTACATTATGTATACTAAGATTTCTAATTCCATAACAAATAAGTCATTTTATTAATAAATCATCAAGTTAAGTAATAGTTTTTAACAATGTTAAAATTTTATTTCAATTTCAAATAGACTGGTCTAATTAGTTAACATATTAATAATTCATCTATAGTCTCTAAAATAGGAGTTATGTGTTACTTTAATCTCTATTTTTAAATTTTTTTTTATCACTTTGGTTCTTAATCAAAAATGAAAAAGACAAAACAAAATCATGCAGTGTTGAGGTACAAAATTAAAAATTCAAGAACAAAGTGATACAATAATGCATATTTTAGAAACCAACAGTAATTGGTAGCTCTAAAAGTAGAGTTCTAAATAAAGCTCTACTAAGTTTGCAGCTTAAAAAAAAAAAAGTGACATAAAAAATAAATATTATCACACTCAATCAAATTAAGTGTGATTAAAATATCAATCTAATTTTTTTTATCACACTTCCAATAAAAGTGAGATATTTTTTTTTTTGTCAAAGTGTGATATTTAACTATTTTTGTAGTAGTGTCCAAAACATTTTTATTTAGAAACCATAGACGAACTCTTCAATTATTTGATTAGCAACTTAGATGGTCCGTTTAAAATTGAAATTTCGATCAAATTAACTTGCACTAAAAAATATAGGTGTGAAAACACATGTGTATAGAATAACGCTATACAAACATAATTTTTATATAAAAATTTCATATAGAATGATATATAGTTTTTTTACGATCCTTTCATTTATAATCAAAACACCCACTATTATTAAATTTTATGATTACAAACATGCAATTGTCACATCATCCTAAATGCAGTTTATGTGTAGAAATTATTTGTAAATCACTTTCCATGTATATACTACTAGTGATGTCTACCCACTTCATAAGTGCACTAATAAATTTGAAAAGTATAAATTTTGATTTTAATTTAAAAGCACACATATTGTGTGATGCTGTGATGCGTAAGTGATAAAAGTCTTATCTACTCGGCCGAATGTCTTAGTTACCATATGCGTTAGATATGATTAAAAATATCTTATGTGAGGTGATACATTTAGTAACTAAAACATAATAATGTGAAATTCTATAGTTTGGAGTCTCTATTATATACTCCAGTTATGATTGAAAAAATCTTTAATTATATCTTATATAATATTTGATTACAACCTTCTTTTTTTTTTTTTAGCTACGATTGAAAAAATTTAGGGCACTAGTGACAAATGAAAAAGGTGCTAAAGAGATCCTTCCCTAAAAAATTAAGGTCATGTTTGTTTGGTTTTATAGGATGGAGGGAATTAAGAATACAATGAGATTGAATGAGAAAATTATTAGTGTAGCGGTATTAGACTGAAAACTAGGATAAAGAGTGTTTGTTTGTATACTACTGAGTCAATAATATTATAGATAATATTAATATATAAAATTAATATTTTTTAATTTTTAGTATTTTTTTAATATTATAATTTTTTTTTGTTCTAATTTTTTTTTTTTACTTAAAAATTATTTAAAAATTCACTAATCCCCTCACTCAATTTTTAATCCCAACCTTGTCATCGCTTTGTTAGTCCTACCACATGGGGAGATTACTAATCCAAGGGGATAGTTAATCCTCTCACTCATACCACCAACCAAATACTCTTTGGATTGGTCTCACGAACTATTAGTCCAATCCCCTTTTAGGTGGATAAGTTGGGTATTATGTTAAGTAATTAAGGGATATGAGAGGACATAATAAATAATAATTAGACTATAATTTCCCATCATGTTCTCATATCCCTGAACTCTTATTGGAACTTTTATTTTTTCTTGGAACCTTGGAAGTTACATTTTCGACAATTCTCTCCCTAGACAAACTATTCCCTCATTTTTCTATGGAAAATTTAGCCAAAACTCCTTTATTAGATTTTTATTTGATAAAAATAACAATTTAATTTATTTTACTTCATAAATCTCCCAAGGTGGAGACGCATAATTGAATAAGGATAAAGTAAAATTTCTTTTTTTTTTCTTGGACAATATTGCCCATGCATATATATATATATATATATATATCATAGGATTCTTTTGATGATGAACACTTTTATTTTATTTTATACAAGTTTAAAAATGTTATGCATATGTATTTTTGATTGATTCATCTAGTATGTACTCTGTTTTTTGTAACAGTAAGATATTATTGTAAAACAAATTAATATGTTGCTGTTTACGTCAATTTTGTCGGTATTTTTTTTTTCACTTTTTAAGAATTTTATAGTCAACATGAATTTTGTTTGACAGATCTTGATAAGAGAATTCTAAAAATACTAATTTTATTAAAAATTGACATTTAGATCAAAAGTTATATTATTTTAAAGTTTAAAATATTAAATTACTCACTAAATATATTTTTGTAATAGTGATATATGTTAAACTTTTCAAGACAAACGTTGTGTGCATATCCTTAATGCATTATAGTTTTATTATAAGATGGTTTTGATCAAATCCCCTTTTTTCTATTAAAAAAACTTCTTGTTCTCAGAAAAGTTATTATACCAGAAAAAAAAAATTGCTTAGATTTTGAACATGTCGTGAAGATTTAATAGAAATTTTGCAAAGTTCATATATAAATGAATCTGAATCATATATTGATATTTATAAATCAAATTATGTGTATATATTCTGAATTTATAACATTACTGTCTTGTTCTACTCTTCCATCGTATCAACATGGAGGTTGTGGTGATCTCTAGAAATTCTATCAAGCCATCTACCCCAACCCCTTCCAATTTAAATCATTTCTGACTTTCTTTTTTTGATCAAATAGTCAATCGAAACATTGTGCCTATGATCTTTTACTACCCATTAGGGATTGTTGAAGATGATACCAAAGCTACTAACCTCACAAGATCAAACCAGTTAAAGCAATCCCTTGCTAATGTCATAACCAAGTTCTACCCACTAGCTAGTCGAATCAAAGAAGCTCTCTACATTGATTGCAATAATCAA